ATTTCAGGCTTCCAGCCACTTATGGCTATAACTTCCCATCCATTTCAGGACTCCAGCAAACTTTGGAAATTTTAAATTTGGAAGGCAGATGATGCTCCTAAAGCCTAGTGAGAGAACGACTGTTCCCAATTCTCCCCTTTAATGTTCAGAAGAGAAGGACCCTGTTCCTAGAGCCAAAAAAACTGGGTTAGAAAGAAAGTTGTCACCTGCCAAATAATACGCAGAAGATAATAAAGAAATGGAATATGTCGCAAAATATTTTGGATTATCAGAAAAATTATTATTTGAGTAGAATATTCTTAATGGGAGCTGTGCAGCACTTCTTGTTACTCAAAAATTCATTGTCTAAGTATTGTGTGCTGTGTTACAGATCGTGTATGTGTGTGTGTGTGCACGCGCGTGTATGTAACAGATACAATCACAAGCCTGAATGAGGCTTCTTAAGTGTTCTACCTGACTATATAATAGACATCTAACATTTTATTTTAAAATAAGACTTATAATTAATATTTTAAACCAATCTGTAAAAGATTGAAATTCCATAAAAGCCATTAGACTGATTATAGTCCTGTAGCATTGTCAAAAATAATTTTAATTGGTAAGCATAAACAAGCCTGCACTAACAGCTTTTATCTTTAATTGCATTTTTGCCAAATCAGTGTCAGGCTGAATAACAAATATTCATTTGTGACTCTGTAATGTACATTTCCTCTTTTAGGCTGTGTTTTAGCTCAAAGTTGATGATAGAGGTTGGGGGTTGTGTTATTTGTGGTATAGCAGTAAAATCTGAAAATGTTCAAAGTGATTAACACAGGCCTGATAGCAATTGACAGGCCAATACAGAGGGAGTTTCTTCTGAATATGATCACTCGTCTACCACTGATTTCTATCCTTCAGTAAATTTTTTCCCTGTTTTTTCTTTACTTATGAATGCGCATTTCTGAAGGTTGTTTTTGGATCTGAAACCAAATATGCACAACTGCCACCTTCTGCTGTGTGAAGATGACTTGTAAAGGAAAAACTTGAATCTCCTTGACTCATTGTAGCCCTTGACAGGCCTGGAGACTGTTTTAAATCTGTGCTGGTGATAGCTACAATGGGCTAACTTGCCTTTGGAGGCAGCCACAGGACAGCTCTGTACATATTGATACCACATGAATATCCTTTGCTCCAAGCTGCAGTGTCAACTACCTCTCGAGCTTTGTGGTACAAACTTTGGGTAGATTCACAAAGGGAAATAGGTCTTGTAACATGTAGCATCACAACTCTTAATTTTTCGGAGCCTGACTACTGGACTAGAATCTACAACCCTATTTTAGGCACCTAAGGTCCTTCCCTATACAAGTCATGGAGAGCTATACAAGCCCGCCAACACAGAAAAGAAGAGCCATGTGTCTTGAGCCTGTGGCTTCTTGGGAGCACCAGGCTACAGAGGAATACCTATGTTAAAGCAGAATGCAGAACTTTGAACCCTTTGTTGGTGCTAAGCACCTAGTTGTTTATTTTAAATTGGAAGGCATTTTGAGCTTCTTTGTTTTTTTTTTACTTTTTTAATGCAGTTATAGGACTGGAGATAGAAGTGAGCGCTGTCATACAATAGGGCACTTACATACATGCAGGGAGCCTGCTTGAATGTGCTGGAAATCAAGTGCATTGAAACAGTCTCAATTAATCGAGTCTGCTCCACCACATAAATTGATGTGCTCTGACAGCCTTGTGTATCACGTGTATCAGGGGCACAGTGTGCCTCCATGCTGAGAAAATGGCAGGGGTGCATTTTGAACTAAAACATGTTTGGTGTGCTTTAGTTCAAAGTGCACTACTACCATTTTCTCAGCATGGAGGTGTGCTGCGCTGCTGATACACATGATGTGCAGGTGCTTTTAATTATCATGGCTCACTAATTAAAAGCACCTGGCACTGCTTTGGGAGCACATATAAAAATTCCCATATGGATTAGAGCACTCTTTCAGGATGTGAGAGACCCAGGTTACATGCCCTCCTGGATACTCTATGGGTGAGATTACATATTACAATTAGACCTTGTGAAGAGTACTTATAATATGTGATCATTCACATTTTGACTCATTAACATGTGCTAAGTGCCTTGTAGTTATTTTAAAACTGAACCACTTCAGGTAAGGGTTATCTTTGGGCTGTGCTACCTAGCTCAAGTTAAGTTAAATTCTAGGTATTCACCAAACACTGCTCCCAGGTGGACTACCTATTATCTAGGATCTACAGCCCTAGACTGACAGCTGGGAACTGCTAGGCAACAGGTAGGTGAGGATGGGGAGGGTAGGAGAAGGGGGAGGATGGGTGAAGGGGGAGTAGGAAAGTCAGGTTGCGGGGGGCAGGATTGGAGGGGGCAAGAGGAAAGAAGGAGCAGGGGAGCAGGTGGGTGGGGAGCTGCCAAGATGCTGCCCCTATACCACCCCTGATCCCTGAATCACTTCCCCCAGATTGCTCCCCTGCCCCTTCAATAACCCCTCTGCTCTGCATTGTTCCCTTAACCCTGATTCACTGCCCTGCCACCCCAATCAGTCCAAGAGTGGTGGAGGTTCCAATGGGGGCTTTTTCCTGCTTGCCTGCTCTTGTGGTTTCAGCAAGCCATGCTGCTCCTATGTGCCCATATCAAGGCCACACCAGGCCCCACAACTGAAGGAGAGGCAGGGTGGAGGGGTTCAGGGGGACAGGGAGCTTCTGGGTGAGGTCTGAAACCAGGTGCATGGGGTCAGTGCAGGTTGCAGGGAGTCAGGAAGCAAGAAGGGAGGGGAAATCTGCCTTGCTGTTGCTGCTGCCACCACTGCTCTTGGGCTGGAAGCACCAGCTGCGAAACCGGACATGCTGGTGGAAGTGTACTTTCAATTCCACCACTGGGGGACTCCCCCCCATTGGCGATCTGGTGCCCCCCCCAGACTCTAGAGGCATCAGTCACCCATGAGGCACATTGAGTCAGAGAGGGGGGAACGTGGCTCTCCAGCCCAGTAATTAAAGTTCTTCTCAGAGAAGTGAGTCATAGGCCCTGGTTTCTGTTCCAAAGATTGTGTTTTGTGTATGTTTATTAAGTAGTCTGGGGGCGAGGCTTGGAGTTTGTGAATAGACGTCAGAGAAGTGTAAAACATCTGTCCAAATTAAACTTCAAATGGTGTCTACATTAGTAAAAATAGTTCATATTAAGCTTACGTATAGCTTTTTGGATCTGCCCCAGGTGCCTAATCTCCCATTATAATCAATAGGGCTGTTAAGGCGTCTCTAAACCATGCCCATGCCATGCTTGGGAGTACTACCATGAGTCATGCTCTTGCTCCACTGTCATGACATCCCAAAAATGAGGTAATGTAGTTAACCAAGAGAATCCCTGCACACGTGCCAATAAACACACTTGAGCAAGCCCAGGAGTGGCACTGGGTGTATGGTCAGCAGTACTCTAAAGTAACTAGCTACTCCACCTCATTATCATACTTCCAGCTAATATATATGGACTGGGATTCATTTGATGGTAGCTGTTTCATGGCAATGTAGACACCCCAGGGTTTTCATGTGTATTTAAAGCATGTATAAGCATTGGGAGATAATTTTAAATAAAGTGGTCCAGCACTGAAAGAGCTACTGGACCTCTAATACAGTGGTAGGGCCATGACTTGATGAGCAGGCTTGCCTACTGAGTCACAAGTATGACTTCCTGTAGCTCTGGACTTTCTTTCGAGAAGCCCATTTTCTCCAAATACTGAACATATTCTGTCTTGCTTTGCAAGTTCTGACAAGATTACAGTTTGTGACAGAATGGGCTGGCTACAGGGCATCTGCTGATTTCATAATGTTGGCATTTAAACACTTGGATTATGCATCAGCATTTCCCTGTAACTTCCTACTTGTTTAATCAACGAGAAGAACAAGAATCTCTAGAGAATACTTATCTGTATTCTACCAACCCATGTTGTTGTCATAAAAGCCTCATGAAACCATTCACCTCACTAGACTGGGTTTAATACACAGATCAGTCAAAATGTCCCAATGGATACAGAAGGTCTTCATGCATTTACTTGCCAGATACAAGAAACCCAGAGCTATTTATTAATTTAAACTGCAGGAATATAAATTGTTTACTACTCCTGGAGAGGCTATATAACACAAAAATCATTAATGGCCTGAAATAGTGGAAGTTTTTCATGTTAATTCAGAGCCCTAGAATCAAATGTTGACATACTACACATATTTGAACTAGAGAGGAATGACCTTTCTTGCATAATGATCTGAAAACTATACACAACATATTAATTAGCATTTCAGGATGCTCTGGCTTACTGCAGTAACAAATCAAAGACAGATGGAAACAGATCAGCACAAACAACTAATTTCATAGTATTCTGTCCTGCTCTGGTTTATATCCTGACACACATTGTAGCCCTGTGAACTTAAATAACGTTGCATTAGATGAAAAATTAGGGACACATTTCAAGGTAATTTTTTTTATATGAGATTTGTAAAGGCAAATGCATCAAGCCAGACTGGTGAGGAGCCTTTTCAAGCACATTCTTTATTGGTACAAGTTTGCTCCATTTAAAGTTAATGAGAGTTTTACGGTTGAGTCTTAATCTTTTTAATTTTTTAGTTTGTGTTGCGATATCTCCTAATGACCAGGGCCTGCTTGTGAGAGATACCATCTTTTCACTAGTGTTTGCATAGTATCTACTCCAAAGACATAATTTAAGTATGAGAGAAGATGCTGGACAAAGACAACTCAGAGTGGTTTTGAAGTTCCCCCTACAAGTATTATGGAACCTTGGCCAAAGCTCTTTCATTAATGTTATAACCAGATTTCAGTTTTAATTACCCTGTAAATTGGGTTAGAACAAATTTGCTTTGCCTAGAATATTGCCAGGTTTCTTTTACGCAAACATTTAAGAGCACATGAAATCAACTTTTATTTTCATTTAAAAATCAACCAACTTCCTTGTTTTCAACTTTAGTGAAAACTATATTTCATTCTGTTACAGGTGCTTGTATCTTGTCTATCACTTGCCTCCTGAATGCATAGCACCTCATATTGAAAGGTAAGGGTTTTCAGATGTAAAGCAGTGTGTATTTTGTCTGTCATGCAGTTCACTCCATACAAGAACTCAAGTTATGACTTTTGTTAAAATGATAGCTAACTGAATGTAATGAGCCTTCCCTGGTAGCTAACCACAATTAACTTACT